TGAACAAACTTAACATATTTCCAAATTAGATAATATAATTCAGTTTATATCTGAAATGAATTTGATATTTAAAAGAAAATTATAAATGTTTAGGAAAATTACACATGTACATTTTTAGTAAAAATGTTACGAAAAATTTTAGAAAAAGTTCTTGCAAGAATGTTGATAATAGCAGAAACAAGCGTTTTTCTTCCATTCATAATGCAGTTCCTTGAAAAGGCAAACGAGAACGATAAAAGAACTCATCGCTTCATCATTCAATATACAATTGTATACATAAACGCGGAGAACAATGCAGATGAATGACGCACGTATAAAAGAATACTAACGAGAGAGAGAGAGAGAGAGAGAGAGAGAGAGAGAAGGGGGGAAGAGAAAAATCACGGAGGAAGAATCACACATGTTTTGAGATTATTCGTGTAGATATTGTAACATTGCATCGAATCGCATTGCACGTATGTAAATTGCTCTATTATTATCTAAATATTGTTTAAATGTGCAATTCAATCAAATTGTGTATTAAAATGTGCATTCGGGAGAATATGAACGCACCATTTTTTATCTGTTCATAGATAATATCGGACTTTATTTCACAGAGCAGCAACGTATACGATATATACAATTTTTTATCATAAAAGAACTTATTTTATGTACTTTAGGTACATCTAGGTTTGAAATATACGAAATAAGAAAATATTAAAAATTGATATAAATCTCTCTTTTAGAGCCAAAGTTGCTCTCAACCACCCACAGTTTTATGTTTTTGTGCGTACATCTTTGTTTTCCTTGTACATATACCTATACAATTCGTATAGGTATTTTTATCGATTGCAATACTAATTATTTGACACTTTACAATACCGTCAATTTTATATTTGCTGCTATTTTATATAAAAAAAATACATCGTTATTATTCTGAGAGATGAGGGACATATCGAAACATGGGCTTCTAGTTATAGCTGCACCAAGACGTTGATGCGGTACCAAGATACGCATTTTAGATTAGACTTTATGTACCAGTCAGACGTTTCGCATACGTCGGCTGGCTGGAGTTATGTAGAGGAAAATTCATTGACCTTATATTTCAACGAAGGTTGCATTCTTCGTACGGTAAAAAACTTAACAATCGATATGACAATCAGCTTGACGTTTTTTGTCACATTCAATGAGAGAAATACTATGGTGCATGTGCTCATTCAATTAAGTCTTGCTGCCTTTTGTCTTTTCTAATTAAAAGATCCGTACAAATAACTATGGTTAAACCTTGGAATTATTACATAAAAGTAAACTATTATAGAATATTCTTTATATAAAAACTGTATTCTTCACACATCTGATATTTTTTTCTTACCTTTTGTATGCCACACTTGTTGTCACTGTTTACCTCATTAACACATGTAAAAGCCATTGTGGCTAAACTTTATTATACTCGTCGCGTGTTCGTAATGATGATACCATATATTACCTAAAATAGTAGATGTGTAATTCTAAGTAGACTGGCTGACACGAAATACAATGGATGAAATTTCTTAAGCGAGTTATTGAAGAGAACAGATCATTTTCTAACGCGATTATCGAAAAATAACATGATTCTCCTTATCGATTATTAATTCGAGATTTTATCCCGTTAGGTCAAACGAAAAGATCAAAGGACTTTTATCATCAATTACTTGTAGCAGTTCGCAATCCTGTCACGATTTCTAATTTCTCAATGTTTAATCGATCAAAATAATTAAACGTAATCATAACAGATGTTATTCTTATGACAAAATACAACAGATTGACAAGAAGAATAAAAGCTAAATAAAAAACCGATTTAAATACAGTGCATTTAAAACTATATTAAAGTCTAAATTATATATTATTGTATATATATATATATATACATATATATGCTTAATCCGTTTTTGCTATTTTTGGAGATTTTTTTTCGTGATTTCTTTTTGGGCTGATGCAGAACACACGCGGTTTGTTATGAATTCTTCCCGAGAGATTTCCGCTTTTCATTCTTGCCATCTCTATTTCCGCTCGTCCTTGCATTGTTGCATCGCGTCGATTCGCAAATATACGAAGGGGCGTGGATATCATCAACGCCGTAATTTGCACCGCGACATCGAATATCGATTGCGTAATTCATTACAATGTAACGCGACGTCATCGTTGTGATTGCAGAATCGATCTCGCGTGATTAACTCTCAATCATATAGTAAGTAATTATTAATTATATAACTATAATATATGTGCATCAGTTGGAGAGTGCAAATGAGCCTTTATAGTGATGCAATAAAAGAGAGATTATCTAATCTAATTTTATATCAATATCATTAAATTCTCTAAAATTACGAGTATAAAACAACAGTTATTCAATTGTTTACTTAGAAAGTTTAAGATAAAAACTGTTGAATGTTACACTTTTTCTGTTTTATGTATCAAATGTGTTTTGAATTAGGTAAAGGTGATGAATTTCCTGTATCTCTCTGCGTCTAAATAGAGCAAGGTTAATCGCAATCTTCTTGTATGTAATGCTTTATGATAGAAATCGTTGAATAGAATCGAGCAAATCATTTTGTATTAGGGATCAATGTGCCTCCAATTTTTCGAAGGTCGAGGGAAAAACAAGGTCGATATTATTTTTATACACCAAATGCGTATATCGCGTGTATTGAATACGATTATGTACATATATGTAATTTTTTTTAAATAAAAACAAAAATGAATGCAATTTTTATTTTACATCTACATTCTCTCTTTATTTGTTTAATGATAAAAATATATAAGATAATATGATAAATATATGTATGTGTAGATGATTATTATAGGTCTACAAGTTTGCTCCCGCCGTTTTCATATAGATAATTTTATACCTGTAAAAACGGCGGGAGCAAACTTGTATTACTATATAAACAAAGAAACGGTACTTGATATACTATATTTGGTACTCAAAATAATTAACTACTGTAAAAAATATAATAA